GTTGTTTTGAATTAGGAAGTTACTGCGAGATCATGCCCCTGAAAAAGTGCCAAAAGCTAAAAAACACTTCTAAAAACGTAACGCGACCTACACGTCAGCTGGGGTGGCAACTGTTGCATTACGGAACCACTTGTTGTGGGATCCAGGGTCAAGCTCAAAGAACGGAAAGGAAATTGGTGGAAGCATGCCCCTAGACACTCTACGGTTTTTTTAGTAAAAAAAACGTGTATATTTGGTGAAGCAAGTAAAAACTGGAGCTCGGAAAATGCTGCCACTTCTTGCCCCATCACCTTAAATCCTGAAGGGTAGTGGCAACTGTTGCAGTGTAATATTTCGATGGCCCCGCCCCTTTGAACTAGCCGACTGTAAAGTGTGATTGACAGATAATGAATTTTCGCGGAAAGATAGTTTGTCGATACTATCTAGCCAAAACCGCTGTGTGGGGCAGAAGGCCACCAGGAAAAACCGGCGCGCCTCGCATGCCGGGACTGCATTAAATATAAGCCGAATCGTAAGCCCTAAGCCAAAGCCTACGCCTAACCGATGCCTAAGCTTCAGCCATTGCATAAACCTAGGCATCAAGAGTCCTTAGCGCGAGGCTCGAGAAAAATCAGACGATTCTGAAAATCTGGCCAGAGGAAAAGTAAAACGTCTCGATTGGGTTTTTAAAATTTTTCATAACATGCTTCCAAATATGGACTCTGGCGACGCGGAATACCATTAAATCAAACGAGCCAAGTTTTTGAAAAGTTTTAAAAACCTTGGTGTCTTTTCAGTTGGTAGTTTTGATTTTTTAATGCTCTCGCCTTCTCATATTTCTTTCATGGTTTCCTTCTCTCTCTCTCTCTCTCTCTCTCTCTCTCTCTCTCTCTCTCTTTTCTCTCTCTCATCTCCTAACTTTATTTCACCTTATGCTCTGTTTTAGCTCTGCCACTCACGTCTCCTAGCACATGACCCGGACTTGAAGCCCGATGATGTCCTCTTCCTTATGCTTAGCGCCGAGAATTCCTTTAAATTATCATTCGCCAGCTGAATTTACATTGATCAAATATCAATAAATCAGTACTTGCTTTATTAAAAATCCAAATAACAAATCCACAATAGAAAACAGTCGGAAAATCAGTTGGGCAAGTAATCTTTTTGCGCTTCTTCTTTTCTGTGTTTTGTTACTGATTCCATAACGATTAATATGACAACAAAAACGAGGATAAAGCAAAAAGCAATGCTGGAATTGCTCAGTACAGACGTGGTTGAGGTCGAGACATAATTCTTGATAGCCGGTATCACACAGCATGAAGTTTTAAAGTCTTTATAAAGTCTTGGGCCTGTCCTTTCTCTCTCTCTCTCCTCTCTCTCTCTCTCTCTCTCTCTCTCTCCTCTCTCCCTCTCTCTTTCTCTTTCTCCCTATCTCCCTCTCTATCTCTGTCTATCTCTCAGGCTCCCACCCGATTTAGAACTCCCTCCACTTTAATAAACGCATGAAACCTTACCAGATAAAGCTTTAATTTTGTGGAATCATAAAAATACCCTGAAAAATAAACGGTAAACCTGAAAAAGAATTAATTGTTTGTCTGTGTTTTTCGGGGGTGTATAATGTACTCCAACAAATTTTGGTTGCGACGCGTCGAGTGTGAGTTTATGATGGCCTGGTGGCTGACCATCTTTTGATTTTGGCTGAAAATGTTTAAGAATTCTAGGTCATTTTGGTTCACTCTCTTTTACTCGCTTTATTCTCTCTTTCCTCTTCCTCTCTCTCTACTCTCTCTAGCTCTCTCTCTTTCTCTTTTTCTCTCTCTCTGCCTCTCTCTCTCGCTCTCTCTCTGTCTTGCTACTCTGTAACTCTCGTGATCTCTAGCTCAGCTCTTTACAAAAATTGTACACTCACATTTAAAATATACCAATTTAATAGAATTTTCAATAAATACTTACCCGGAGGGCTCAGCCTCATTGTCAGTGTGTTTTCTAACTCTTTTACCTTCTCACTACCTTTACCACTTTGAGACCAAGTTCCGGGTTTGCTGCATACGCTTTATTAGCTGGACTTGGACCTGAAACGTTTATGGAAGGCATCAAATTCATGACGTAATACGGTATTGATGCTGCTTGAAGATTTACCTAACAAGGCCTTTTCCCGATGTTCCTGTACAGCTTGAGCTTTCGTTCTGCTCAACATCTGAAAAGTGTTCCGCTTTTATACGAATTGATGACGTGGCCCCGTTGATACGATTTTTCGTATCGACAGCAGCCGAATCCCCAGCGCCCTCCCGGTTCGCATCTCGATGTCCATTTGCCAACTCTAAAAAACACCTAGATTCAAATTGTTTGAAAGATGTTACCTTTCTTTCTTCCATCAATCTTTTTAATCCCTGAAAATCGATACCTTGCGGGTTGCTCTAAAACGAGAATTGAAAGCGTTAATTCCGGAAAAAGCATACCTTAGCTGGCGATTTTCTGGAATTTTAGGGAACCACGCCTCGTAATGCGGATTTACCTCTGAAAATGAATCTAATGAACAGTAGAATACTCTAAGGTTTTGGATATCGGTAAAAAAACTTACTCTTTCTGGTGTCGACCTTTTTCCAGAATTTCTCGAGTGTTTGTACTGAAAAAGTTTGTACAAAATTTGCCAGTGGAAGTTTAATAATTTTTCTTATGTAAGTTAAAAAATTTAATTTTTCTGAGACTACAATCTACAGCGCGGAAATTAACGATACATGTGTTATTAGAAACATTTAGTGAGCTCGAAAATCCACAGCTTTTGGTAGATAAATTGAAAAATTGAAGAAAGACTAGAAACCTGTCCATGATGTCCTGATGCCGGTATTGTAAATGCTCAGCCATAGACGTCAGTCGATGGCAACACCTCTTCTGTGATCTTCTCCCATTCGCAGTTCTTGCAAACGACCCGCGCGGCGGGCCGGTTGATGAATTCTTTGCGGTACCCATCGTAGCAGTCCGAAGAATTGGCAGACCGGATGACTGGAATAGGAATTTGATTCACTGGAATTTAGTAAGCTCACGGTCGGTTTGTCGTACTCGACCCAATCGTAATAGTTCATTTCGGAATGAAGCAGCAAGTCTTTTCTTTAAAGTGAGCAAAACTCCCTTAGGCATCATCTCGAAAATTCTCAAAATCTGAAATAACATTACCAAAGACATCGTAAGACTTCAAAACAATGAATAAATATAGAAATCAATCCGTAAAGCTACTTAGGATTTAGGTTGCGTTTCAAAGAGGCAAAAATGAAAAAAGATTATGTCCGAATTTACACGATATCAAAAGCTTTCCTAACGTTAATAATCCAATGAATGTATGTTAGAGGTTGGCCAAAACTTGAAACTGTCGTAAAACGCTAGTCGCGTTCGAAAAAATTTGGGAAGGGCGGAGAGCACTGCCTGAGACAGGCATCCCACCCGACTGAGCCTCACCCTCCTTGCCCGAGTATTTTGGTAGCGTGAGGGGAAACGAGTCTCTGGAAGATGCTGCTCCCCAAGTATAGATAAGCCGTACAGCGAGCATTGTTGGCTCGCTGCTGAGACTTAGGGCAATCTTTAAGAAAACCGCGTAGCACTACCTTATTTGTTAGCAAATATTGACATTTGGAGCATCTCTTTTTTTCGGCTTCTCTTACACTCTCTCCCATTCTTTCTCTCCTCCCTCTTTCTCTCTCTCTCCTCCCCTTTCTCTCTCTCTCCTCTCCCTCCTCGCCTCTAAAAAAATAGATATATTGAAATAACCAAAGTCAGAACAATCGCTCCAACTACAGTAAGGCGACGGGGTACGGTAGAAGCGAGAGGACTCGAGCTGTATCAATAAATTTTTGACAGAACGCGTGCTCGCTAGCAGTCGCCACCAGAGCGTGCCAGGCCATAAAATTCTACAAAGCCGCATCTGCCGCCAGAAAACAGGTCTTTTGCCAAAAGCCCTAAAAACTGCGCGTATGCGCGGCGGACAAGGCCGATGCTGCTGAGTTGCGAAATGCACTTCCCAAACCGAAAAACTTGGCCAACAATTCATATACAAAAACATAAAATTTAATTTAAAAATGGAGAATCTATATTGTCATCAATGCTTGTCTTATCAAAATTTTATTACCAAATAAATTGTTGCGATTCAGCACAAATTAATGGATAATGAGATCACAACAGATTATGGATTTGAGGATTGCAAGGGTTTGCTTTTTGTCTTTCCTTTGGCTTTTTGTAGTAATTTTTTTGGTTTAAATTTCCAGAAACTGCACAGGAAAAGAGGTACTGAGATCACAAACAGAAAGGTAAAAATTTTGGGAGGGCTTTGGAAAATGTTGAATTTTATGACCTTTTGCTCCATTTCCTGTTCCATCCAGCTCTTTCTCTTTCAGGAATCTTTAACTATCACCGTAAACATGTCTCCGCTTATCCACCACATCATCTCTATTTTTGCAGCAAAAATACAAGCCTTTACTTACCAACGTTAATCGGAATATTTTTTTGTGTTGTTGAGGTAGAAAAATTAGATCTGGAAAATATCGACCCGGGAGACTGCAACTTTGAACTTTGTATGTTTTGGGTGGTATGAGCTCCACTCGGTGCGTACGATTTCAGAATGGCTGCGTGGCTGAAGAGCTTCTTTTTTGGTGCTGAAAAACTTGGGAATTTTGAGTAAGGATGGCAAAAACTACGGAAAATACCATTTAGTACCATAAAGGACCTGTAATATATAGTGCCTCCGAACGTAATGCCAAACTTCGCACCTAATAGTCCTAAAAATTTAGAGAGGTTTAAAGAAAGCGGTCAGATAAAAACAACTTCCATGGGCTGGCCTTCTCTATCTCTTCTTTCTCTCTCTCTCTCTCTCTCTCTCTCTCTCTCTCTCTCTCTCTCTCTCTCTCTCTCTCTCTCTCTCTCGCTAGACTTCGAAACACGTAAGGTTAAGCAATTTATTTAAATAGCAAAAACCGGCCGCTTACCTGGCGCTCCTTCAACCCGGAGGTCCTCTGACCCTCCTATGACTTTCTCTACATCCGGACGAAGTAAACAGTGCTGAGATTGAGCTTCATAAGAGCGTTTGCAAAGCTCTTGTTTTTCTGAAAAAATCTTGAAATTTTAGTTTAGACTAAAATTTAGACACCTTTGCGAGGCTTGTACTCTGGAGGTCTTTCCGAGCGCGTGCATTCGAAGCTCGGGTCCTCGCCTGAAGAGCAACCCCGACGGCAGCGGGTCGAACGGTACTGCTAAATCTTAAAAATGTGCTAATAATTTTTCTACGATCTATAAATAGAATACACTAGACTATTTCTCCCAAAAATTCCATTAAGTGTGATACTCTACCTTGCGATTCCGTCTTGCGAGCAATTTTCTGGCCTTTCAGCCGCTCTCGCCCGAACTTTCCGGAACGTCGGCCTCGGCTTCATATTGTTCTGTCGGCGCCGGAAGTGCTTCATTTTTAAAGTCCCTTTCTTTGACGCGCACCGGAAGGACCTCCATTTTTTTAATTATAGTCCCATTCCTCGAGACTTCAAAGGTCTCCGTCTGTTTGTCAAGGAAGCGATGGTTACATACCGGCTCGCGCAGCTTTCCCTCTAAAGTAATGTCGTCTTCCTTCTTCGGAAAAAGGCAAACCTCGAAAATGATGCGCTGGCCGTCCTCGATTTCCGTTGGCTGAATTTCCGGTGTGGAACAGCGGTTCCGATTCTGCTGAATGGCAGGCCAGATGAGGCTGAAAACGACAATGGAATCTGGTATTTTATATGGATCTTTTGGGTTTTAATTTGATCCCGCCTTCAAACAGTTAAGTTTCTTAAGCTTTGCTTACCCGCTCGCTTCAAATACCGCGGAAAGAGATCCTTGAATTTTTCAATTTTCTCTTGCATTTCTGGTGAGGCGGGGAATTGGACCGATCCTCCAGCGGGGCCAAGGCTTCGGACAAGTTTTCTGAAATTTGAAATTATTTTTTTCTCGTTCTCTCGCTCTCTTCCTCTTTCTCATCCTTGCTCTCTCTCTCTCTCTCTCTCTCTCTCTCTCTCTTTCACTAGAAACTAAATAGTACCTGGTGATTTGTCTTCTTCACAAGCCCCCATTACTCGCCTGTGGTAAGCATCCAGAATCTAGCGGGTCATCGTGACACTTATTTTAATGTAAGTTTCTAGAAAGAATGATCAAAATGGTCTGTAAAAAGTTAGAGCAAGATGAATAATAGTCTAGTAAGCAAAATTCTACCTGTCCTGTCCGGAATATTTTCGCTCTGCATTTCCGGTCCCATCGAGTCCTGCGTCAAATTTGGCGTTGCTGCAGGTTTTCCCAGGTATAGGTCAAGCGCGGCGAGGTTCATCTGAGGCGGTTGTTTCTAAACTCGAATCGTTAATATATTGCATATAGTGCGAATATTGGTGCTTTCACTAAAAATCACTGGGACTTCATTATTTAAAGTTTAAGATATAAAATTACGATTTTCCTACCTCTGGAACCGCCTGGATCTCCGGAACATCGCTGTGAGCAGCGCCGCTGAATAACGGGTTAATTCCTGAAAATACATGTAATAGACTATGCTAAAAATACCTTGAATTTAATATGCAGAATTAGATTCTGAATTCAATGTGGTAGAAAGCTCTAAGACTTACTTTTCTTATTGTCCACTTTTTTCCACGTTTTCATGCGCTGTAGAAACTAAAAAAACATGTTTTTAATTGGTACGCTCCCTTGTTTTGACTTACAAATTGAAAATTTTATCAGATACAAACTACAAACCTCGCGATGTTTCTTTCGATGACATTCTGCTAAATGTTTAGCCATGACATCCGTCGAAGGCTGTGCCTTTTGCGCCGTTTTTTCCCAAGCACATCTTTTGCAAGCCACCCGTCCGGCCACTCTATTTATACAATCTTTGCGGTATCCATCGTAACAGTCGAAGAATTGACAGACCGGATGTCTAGAGAAGATTCAGTGGATTTTAGATGGGGCTGGACTTACCGGCGATTCGTCGTTATGTCCCAGATCAGTTTTTGCGCTTCCGAATTGTTAGTAGAAGCTTGGGAGGTGTCCATTAGCAGTGCGTCTATCTTCTTTCTCTCTCTCTCTCTCTCTCTCTCTCTCTCTCTCTCTCTCCAGAAATCTAAATAGCTGCTTTTCAATTCCTAGGAGAAACCTAAAGAAACAGTTTGCAAATGCGCTAGTAGGTTTCCTAAATGTGACAGGGTAAAAACGAGCATTACTACTTACGAATCCATAAAAATATGGATCTACGGAAATTGGTCAAAATACCCAGAAATATAAAAGAATTCAAGCAAGCAGCAGAAAACCAATGAAATGGAGGCATCAACTCGGGATAAAACTGGGAATTTGTCGCTAGATTTTGGCCAAGAGCATGTTTCGAAAACGGAGTGGATGAGCCCCAAGGAAGAATCGATCTCTTTTTGGGAGCTTCTGGGAGCCTTGGGACCACCCAGATGGGCCCACCCACACGTGACCGCCCGCCATGGGGTAACTGTAATGTGGTAATGGGAGAAATAAGCTCACGCTTTTCACACCTAACGAGATGGAGAGAGACAAGAAGAAGGCGAAAGATAAAGAAAATGTAAAAGCGAGCGAGAAAGGAAAGCGGATGAGTTAGCCGACTCACTAGGGAAGTATCTGAACTTGCCATCGAACTTTGAGAAGTCAGATACACCATTCGACGCGCCTTGACGAGGGGATTCCAAATATCTAATAAAATCAACGGGAGCGTATAACGGTAAAAAGTTATGAGCATTTATATTGCGCTGAAGGGTGCCGCTGCGATATGAGTCCCTCCCAGGGAACGCTGCCCATCGGTTCCGTGCCCTAGTGGTGTGCGCATTGGCCTCCGACGTGTACAACGAGGGTTCGGATCCACTCGCGATTTCAATTTTTTTGCTTTTGGACCAGTTCCTACTTTTTGCGTTGCCAAACTCGAGAATAAGTTTTCTTGACTATCTGACCCCTAAAAACGGCCAGCGACGATAAATTCACCACGGGAAAAAATAGTCAGCAGAAGGAATCATGCAGAAAAGCTGTTGAAAGAAGTATAGTAGAATTAGTAGGAATACATGGGGCTTTTTTGACTTTTTCTTCTACTTTCCTGTAGCTTTCAGTTTTTTGGATGGTTTTAAGCGATACGAAGAAATCCATGAACGATACACCCGAAATGACCTGCATAAAAAAATATTTTTCCGGGGTGGAGAAGCATACTTATTTAGCTAGCACTCCATTTTCTTGCAACTTTTGCGTTCGCTGTCTTAACTTACCGTTAGTTGAGAATTTCTTTCGATTGTAGCTTGCAAAAGATGTTTTTGGGTGCCCTTCTGTGGCTTCGTGTGACCGTTTCTATTTATTAAAATTTATTACTTCAATCAGTTGTTGTCTAGTGGGCAACTGGAGGAGGGTGAGAGGCTCCCTGGACCGGGGGAGGGTTTGAAGCTCCTTGAACAGGCGGCGGGTTGGACGCTCCTTGGAACGGGGGAGGGTTGGAAGCGCCCTGGACTGGAGGAGGGTTCGATGCTCCCTGGACTGGTGCGGCACGCTTCACCTTGGGTGGGACAGAAGCTCCGTTGACTGGCGGTGGGTTCGAGGCTCCCTGAACCGGGGGAGGGTTAGAAGCTCCCTTGACCGGAGGCGGGTTCGAAGCTCCCTGAACTGGTGGCGGGTTGGAGGCTCCAGCAACTGGAGGAGGAACCGAGGCTCCCTGTACTGGTGCGGCACGCTTCACCTTCTGTGGGACGGAAGCTCCGTTGACCGGGGGAGGGTTCGAAGCTCCTTGGACTGGCGGTTGATTTGAGGCTCCATGAACCGGAGGGGGGTTCGAGGCTCCTTGAACTGGAACTGGGTGGCCTGGAAAGACATTGATAATACAGAGACCTTTCAGTTTCCAGGTGCTGTCTCGGACTTAATACAGACTGGACTTACTGGTCGGGGGTGGTGGAGGGGCGGTGGCTGCGGCGGCACTAGAAAAGATTTAATTAGTTTTTGAGGTTGTTTTGAATTACCTGAGAATTCTTTATATGAGAAAGGGTTTAGCATATATATGGGTCGAAGCCCGGGGGCGCCGCCGGGCTTCGACCCATATTTTAAAGTTTAGCAAGCTTTTTTAAATCGAATAAGCCTAAGCATCGTCGGCAAGTCTGTCTCAGATTTTTCCAGCTTCTTTAAGCCTACAAAGAACTCACAAAGCCACGGCAACAACAGCCAAAAAACAGACGAGCAGTCTTCATGTTCAACTCGGAGGAGACCAGGAATTGATACTTCTCCGCTGGAATTCAGTCTTTTATAACAAGCCGATTGGGGTCACTCTGGCGTCATTTGTACTCAAAAAGCTCGTTGAACATCCCCTTTATTTGCATCTGGCTTCAAAACTGTTACATCGACCCCGACCCCTGGGAATAGCCCTAGCCCCGCAGCTCAAAGCTTCTGCATCAATTCGGGTTTGCACAGCCTTTCCTGGACTCTACAGTTCAATTCCCGGACTACGGATCGCTACGGAGTGACGTTGGGTATGGTACGAGCAGTGCCGGATTTTGACCAGTAAAGCATTGCACAGCCCTGCAGCTAGATCTGGCTCCGCATTGCAATAAATTGCAATAAATGACGCGAGGATCAGCCCCTATTGGGTTTGTATAAAAGGCGGTGGATGGTGCTTGGATGTATCAATTCCTGGTCTCCTCCGACTCGACGATGAAGATTGCCGTTGTTGGCTTCTTGGCAGCTCTTGCCGTGGCTTGGTAGGTTTTATTGAGCTTAGCAACTGAAAATGCATTTCTGCAAGATTCTGGAAAGAGCAAACTTTCAACGAAGTAGGATTTATATGCTTAATTCCTGCGCCGCCCCTGCCACACAGCCACCTCCACCCACCAACCGGTAAGTCTAAGAATCCAAAACTTTGACTTTTAAATCACACAAGAGCTCAATGCCAATTCTAACGAAATGAAAGTTAACCTTCGACAAATTAGAACCTAATCCAGATTGACAGATGCGTTTTAGGGAAGCCGGCTCCAGTTGCTGGAGCGTCCAACCCACCACCAGTCCAGGGAGCATCCAACCCACCTCCAGTCCGGGGCGCATCTAATCCTCCTCCCGGTCCAGGAGCTTCTAACCTCCTCCAGTCAACGGCGCTTCCGTCCCACCAAAGGTGAAGCGTGCCGCGCCTCTCCAGGGAGCCTCCAACCCGCCCCCGCTCAAGGCGCCTCGAATCCTCCTCCGGTGCAAGGAGCTTCCAACCCTCCGCCAGTTCAGGAGCCTCCAACCTCCTCCCAGCCAACGGCGCCTCCGTCCCACCTAGGGTCAAGCGATGCTGCCAACTCCACCCCCAATCCAAGGAGTCTCCGACCTTCCGCCGGTTGCTAAACACCCAACCCTCCCTGGTCCGAGGAGCGTCCGTACCTCCTGCGGTCCAGGAGCCTCCGTCCTCCTCCGGTGGCTGGAGCCCAACCCACCTCCAGTTGGTACGTTACCATGTGCCATAGTCTAATCCAAATACGGAAACTTAAAAACACCTAATTTTAGCTGGCAACGGATCTCCGCCACCTCCCCGTCTCGGTCAACGGACTTCAGCTCCTGCTCCCGCCCATTAAGTATGGCAAGGGTCGCAAAATAGACTTGAATAAATTGTCAAATGCAAAAGGGGCAGGAGCACGACGATTGGGACATTGCAGGCACCTTAAGTGGTCGCCAAGGGTTGATGGCACGCTGTGGTTTGCATTGTCCGATTTCTCGTTGTTCGCATGACTAACCACCGTAATTCTTTTATCAATACCCGGCAAGTTGTCATCAATAATCATAAAATATATGTCGCAAACCGCAACCAACAACCGCAAAATAACAACGAAGAGAGTAAATGCAAAATAGGGAGCAAAATGCTGGAGAAATGCATCGAGACCAGTTTTTCATGAAACTATGGAGGAAATAGGATAAAATAAACAAAATTCCGGCTTTCTAAACTACAGCAACTGAATATCTAGAAAAAAATCAGCATTACTTGGTTATCCGGGATAATTATTCAGGTTTTGATAAGGATACGGGAGGTGCGAGGCTCGTTTGTGGCTGAAGGGACCGCGCGGGGATCTGAAATTTGAATTCTTCGTTTCATCCCTGGAATGAACGTTTGTCTTAATGTTAATGTCTTGTTTCCTCCCGCCGTTACTATACTTTTTTATGCTTTTTATATTAGTTTTTTTATATTAATATTAGGATATTTGCAAGAAAGATACATTTTTATATACTTTTAAACTTTCAAAACTATGCAGCCCTACTAATCGACTATGCTCTTCAGATGCCGTCAAAAACGGGGTCGAAAAAACCGTGCCAGCATTGTTCGAGTCCCTCGCAAACGGCCTTTTAACGCTTAAGAGCTTTGTAATTGCCTAAAGGTTAGAGAAAAGCAGAAAAGCCAGAGGACAACCTTCAAACTTCGATTTTATATAATAAGCAAATCGTTCCGAATTCTAGGCCATTCACGGAACGAATTTCATTCAAATAAAATTTTTCAAGTAAACCTTTCGACAATCTCTCAGAAAGAGTGCATAGCCTACCGTATATACCCGAGGAGGAGGCGGGCTCGGTGAAAGCTTTCCGTTGGAGGCTGGGGCTTTGGGCTAAAATTAGGATATTCAAGGGGAAGGGTAAGGGTCTTTGGTGGATATGGATGCCGAAAGGATCTAGGCGCGATGCGCAACGCATGCGCGCGGCAGAAAGCTGCATTCGTATTTCGCATTATTAGCATCGGAACCCCAGATAAGAGCTCAAAGTTTTCTATTGATTTTTTCCCGCAATATTGTGACCACGAAATCGGCAGCAGGGCGAATAGATGAAAAGATAAGTTCTCGCACTAATGGAAGAGATAGGCAGATGCGCAGATCGATAGACGACAAGCCATTTGTTCGTCACATAAAGGCACCATTAAAAAGTTGTACCCGGAACTTTTGGACTCGATGGGTGCTGCCCTGGTGAGCGCGGAAGACATTGATGTCGTAAGAGGAGCAGAAGGTGCAGCTGTTGCACTCGTAGAGCTAAAATTTCAAGTTTATTTAGCAACATGCTCTGCCGGCATGACACATAGGTGACACCACTCGGGACAACAGTTGGGGCACCTGTAGATTATTGAACTGGCCGCAGCTGTGCTGCAGCTGTGTATCCCCACAGCTGTGCCACTGTTGTGCCCCGCGCCAAGCTTAATGTTTTGGGGCGTTCCCGGAGGTGAAATGGTTTATTCTAGGGCTTCATTATGCTAAATAGTAGCTCTGGTCCAAAAACAAAAAAGTGAAATCCTGCGCGGATCCGAACCTTCGTTACTTTGCCCGACCCTTCGCCTAACTCCTTATCCACTAGACCACGATGACACATCGGTCGGGGAGTGGAGGAAGCCTATGAAGGTATCGCGAAATATTCAAAGGCTTATAAATTGGTTCATATCACACTCCATGCTAATAAAAATTAGTTTGCCGGGTTCAGTTCTTCAGCTCTGTAAGTGTGCCAATCTCAAATCGCAGTTTTATGTCCGGTTGGGACCGTCTCCTTGTCGGCCAAAATTAGTGTTAGGACAAAACCCGAAGTAAATGGAGTCAGAAGCAGTCACGAGAAGACTTCCGACACATAAAACATATATTTACGAAAATTTTATTTTTGACCCAAAAAAATGACTAAGTCCCGGGCCACAGCTGATTCCGCTTCGGGAGGCCCGACAAGCTGTGACACCGCACTGCGGCGGCGGTAACGGAGACACAGCTGTGAGTGAACGCGAGCTGTGCCACCTTATAAATTTTCCTAGTCTACACAGCTGTGCTACACCGCTAAACGGCCACACCTAGCTGTGGTTCCGCTAAGAGTGGAGTCACTATGTGCCATGCCGGCAGAGTGCGCATGCATACGATGATCTTAAAAACACGGTAAGATCAATTACCCCATCTTGTCTCCTCGTGAACATCTCAACAAGCTGATCGTCTCCTGATATTCCAGCCTCTGCTTCTCAGCGATATCTTCCTTCTCAACCATCGGCTCGAAGTTGAAGGATGACGGGGATCGGGGAGATTCCATCGAGATCGGGCTCAGTTGCACGGAGCTGTACGCCTTGGCCTGAGCTGGAGTTTTAAAGATGGCGTATGAGGGGCCCTCAGATGAGGTTGGTAGTGTGAGGCGAGCTCCAGGTCGAGCGGAGGGCGCTGAGCTGAGGTCTCGTGTCAGTGCTGGGTGGAGTGAAGTTCTGAAAGAGTAATTATTTCACTTCGCGTCTCATTCTCTCTCTCTCTCTCTCTCTCATCTATACTCTCCTCTCTCTCTTGCTCTGTCATCTTCCCAGACTTTTTGTACTCCCTAACTCTCCTGATAACTCTGTCTGTCTAGGTAGCTTCCAACTCGCTCACTCTCGTTCTCTCTCTTTTCTCTCTCTCTCTCTCTCTCGCTCTCTCTCTCTTTGGCTCTCTATTTCTTTGGCGTTTTCCTAAATCATTACCACAAAAGTCCCCGCATCGTATTATTTTTCGTGACGACTGGAGCCAAAGTCGCAACACACGATGTTGTTTCTGTAAGCTTCACATTTTAAAGCGTGCCGTATTGACTCATTCCAGAAGAATTTACCTAAGTCTCCGACATCGATACATATGCGCCCAGCCTACGAAGTGAATGATATAGATCCCAGACACATGATCTGTGATATCCATGCTAAAGCTCTGATACCCCTAATACTCTTTATAACTACCCCTACCGTCCCTGCCCATTAAGTCCAAACGGCAACCCTGTCTCACTAACCCTGCGGTCGGTCTCCCGGAGCGATAGAAGATGTGTCCTTCGGTCTGCCCTAACACCCAAAGAGGCCAACATAGCGGCCCAACGCCTTAGATACTTACCCTGGCATGCGCCGCCGCATACGGTAATTTCAGGTGGCGTATCGCGGTGACTTTGTCGATGCGGACGGGATCTTTCTCCCGGCAAAGCTTGCAGTGCGTAGCTGCCTTTGTCAATGATGGATCGGGTGCGCGCCATGAATCGAAAGTACTCCGAATGTACCGGATGACTGGAAACGAGGGGTTCTTGTTGGCTCTGTGGTGCGTCAAGAGGCGTGGTGATATGGTGCGCCCTGGGGCTAATACCGGTATAGAACCAGGGTACGCGAAGTTTGGATAGGGTGCGTCGTTGTGCCACCCCTGTAGCACCTTCCACGAGGGCGTCGCGCCCTCCCTTACGAGGCCTGAAAACCCGACAGAGCGTCTTCGGAGTTGCTCACTTTTGTGGCTCCGGACCGTCAACGTGACGGTTCTTCTTGTAACCCAGTGCGCCCTGAAGATGGAGTTTTTGATACGATGGGTCGTCGGAAGCATGACGCAAGGACCCGCGACACCACGTCACATTGAAATGGGGCTCGCAGCGGGTCGAATCAACATCCTAGCCTCTACATTACGACTCCGTGTAAGTACCGGTGCCCAAGTTTCAACAGACCACTTTGTATATGATGCGCAGATGACTTAACCTCAGAACCTCAGAAGGAGCTTTTCAAAGAGAGACCAGATGCTCTGCACCCTGTCAATACACTGCTATTTTGTGGACGGACCAGATGGGCTACCGTGCTGAGCTGATGGTGCGCCATGCCATCTGTCGTTAGGCCGCACAAAAATCCAACTAAGCTTTATACAAAAAAATACTAACCCGCGGTGAACCTTCTTCCCGCTCCTGTGCCATTTCTTCTGATGCAGTAAGCGGCTCTCGTTTCCACAGCTTCCGGGATAGGTCGTGCATCCGGTTTAGTAAACTGTAGCTCGAAAATGGCGATCTCGGGCCCCAAAACATTCGGAAGGGTCTGTCGCAATGGAGGAGCGGGTCAAAAATCGGGAATGTTCTAAGGCTCGGGCAAGTCGCACCATTAGGGGTAGTTGTTGTAGCTGTTGATCAGGCTGTGCAGCATGCCCATGTCCATGGTGTTGTAGCTGGGGCGTGCATGTGGTGGGTGTGGTGGGTTCATCTTTGTTTCTGAAAGGGGAATGCTGTGAACGGTTGATGTGGGACGAGAATGGAAGCTCGTGGTAGACTATGGAATGGATGGCGGCTCGTAGAAGTACGTTCAGGTACTAGTTCACGAGTACGTAGCCACAGACGAGCCGATAGGAGCCGAAACTCCGTGCATAGGAGCTGAAACATCTTTTGCGCTTCTTGATTTCCGGCTGTACGAATTTGGTGCACTATGTAGCCGTGCGTTGGTGCGTCGGGTCATTTGGGCATCCAGTCCTCAACCCTGATCCTTGACGAAGTTCTCGAGTCCCTGGCTTACAGGCATTATTTTCTTTTTTGAAGCTCTGAGCCCTGAGCGACATCATGTAGGGAATTTCTCTTTCAGTAGCTTGTGGTACACACTCCGCACTTCTTGATGGAGTTCCCAGTTCTTGTCCTGTCATTTCCGTATTTTGGGAGACCAATCGGCTCCCTGCTCCGAGAATCTGTAGGCGTGTAGAGCGGCCTAAGCCAAAAGGGGGGCATCTGGCAGCTTGAAGTCTACAGCCAAAGCCTCAGTTCCATTACGTTCGATGAGGTCCATTTGCATAGCTTAGGGACTTCTAATACTGGGCGTCATGCGGGGTACTATGCCTCCCCCGACTGAGGTATTCCTAACCTTCCTGTTCCCGGACGACCAGTAGCCGCAAGGGTCGGGAAACAGATAGTGCCATATTTTGGGGTCAAATGCCAAAGGAGAAGAAGAGAGAGAGAGAGAGAGTGAGAGAGGAGAGTGAGAGAAGGAGAGCCAGCATCCCCTGACAGCGTGATAGTGAAGGAAGAAGAAAAGGCGAGACATAGATAGTGAGAAAGCAAGCATTCAAATGCGGGGATCGCTGCCGACTGCTAGGTTCGAAAATCTCGATAAGAAAACATAGGAATCACCTCGCCGTTAGTGTCTAGCAGCAAAATCCTGACCAAAATCGGCTAGCATAATGTCAGGTCGATAATCCGCGTGTCACACACGTTAGCAACGGATCAACGGTTAGGGGGAGATTATTGGGGTAGAGGAAAGAGTTAATAGGGGGTTATTTCAATGAGCAGGCGTGTGCGGCCTGTAAGACCTGTAAGGGCAGCGGCAATCAGCACAGGATCTCTCTGTATACGGGGCAAAGGCCGCGAGCGGGAAGCAGCATATAGTAGGTATCTAAGCTCACGGCTTTTAGATGCGGGCACGCGCCAAATTCCGTAAGTGCATCGGCAGCTTTCAGCGCGCGGAAGTCGCTGCGAGCTGAAGCGGTGCCAGGCTACCTAGGTAGGCTGCGGAGCAATGCTAAAGTGCGGGAAAGAAGCCACTCATTCAGTAGAGATAAGATAGGGTAGCATCGAAATGTTTGGAACAATGGCATCTGTCCCGGGGCTCTGCGAAGGTAGGAGGTACCCTGAGGGGTGCGGGACGAAGCCACGCCCACATGTGTTATCGGTGATTGTCGGAAAGGAAAGATAGATATAAAGTGAGAGAGAGAGAGAAGAGAGATAGAGTGAGTGAGAGATAGAGAAAGCACAACTTGCCTAGGACAAACAGAAATAAGTGACAGAAAAGTAAAAGAAAAAGCTTTCAAATCCAAGTAAACCCTATAAAATAATCAAAAAAGGAGCTGGGGCGTCCTGGAACCGCAAGCTGCCCCTTATAAACCCTTTGGCTCACGCTGAAACACGGACGCTTCACGCGCGAAATTTTTCTTGGCAGAGCGTGGCGGCCCGGCAAAGAAACATCGATGTTCCTTAATATGCTCCCGCAATTTTGAACCACAACTAAAAGTGGCTGGAAACGCTCCAGGAAATTGAGCAAATCGCGAAAGCTCTGTCAATGAAAAATATAAAATTTTGATGTTGGACCATTCAACCGGATTCAACGAAATATCATTGCCGCCCAAAGGACCCACAGCACGGAAAATATTAATGTCTAAAGTTGCTAAATGTCAATCAGCAGGGTAGAGCTTTGAAAGAAGCAAAAATTTTTCGCAAAGGACTGTCATTTCTCATCAACCTTATCTTTCTCCTCACTCACCCTATCTTTCTCTCCCGATCTCTCTCTCTCTCTCTCCCTCTCTCTCTCTCTCTCCTTCTCTCCCCTCTCTGCCTACACACCTCAATTCTTGGGGGAATCCAGCGATGCTTTGTCTCGACAAGGACTGACGGATCGGATGGATTTTCGAATATGGAAATGACCACGATTTATGAATTTGACCATCGATACTGCTTCCTCGATGACCCAGAAAGGAAACAACAGTAAGCTGGTGAGAGAGAGAGAGAGAGAGAGGATAGAGAGAGAAAGAGTAGAGAGAGAGAGTAGAGAGAGGAGAGAGAGCGAGAGCTATCACAAAGGAGCAAAAATATCTGCTGCTCACTGAGAAACAACCCCTTAGGCAAATAGCCTGAGGTCACTTATCAATGGCCCAAGTCATCGGTAGGTACCCTTCGGTGTTTGGTGGTAGCCTTTGGTGCTGGTGCGAGCTGACCTGGGAGTGAGAAGACTTCTGCCTTGCATGACAGATGGCACACCTCAGGTCATGGCTTTGGCGACAAACCGATACTCTCGACCAAATGGCATCTATTCAAAACGTGTAAGAGATAGGTGATGTTTGACAATGGTAAGTGATTATTCTCATATATCTATTTTCAGCGTTTTGATCCTATTAAACAAATTTTGATACCATGATTCCTAATTACCATTCACTACTGAAAAATCAACGAAAGTGTGGTTGAAGGCCTGAAACAAGTAGAGAGCTGGGAATTTGAAATTCCACTGGGAAGTTCGAGATTCAGATCAACTAAGAGAGAAAATCTTATCCACAATTTTAGCTTCGTAATTGTTTCGTAGCAGTTTTAAAAAAATAAAGATTCGGCCAGGTTCAAAAAGCACATGATGGATTGAACACAGTATCCGAAGTTTCAAACGGCAAGAAAATTCGTGGGGCAAATGCATTTGGGCCCAAATCGAATGGGATGGATGGAGTTGAGTTGCTTTTTCTGGGGGCAAGCCACCATCCATTAGCGATTTGTCGTTCCCCCGGGTTCGAGAGGAAATGCCGAAGCGAAAGCGGGGGATGTGTCATGTCGAGGGCTCGCGGGAAATTGGTGCGATTCCAACGAAGAAAAGGCGATAAATTTTACTAGGCCTGGCATTACTGCTTTGGCCGGGGTTTGGACTTTAAATAGAAGAAAAAAATCACACAATACAATGGCAAAAGATCCCATAATTTTTAAATTATTGCAGTTTCTGAATTTGAGCGATCTCAAACTGATTCAAGAAAGCAACGGTGAAAAATCCGCCTAATATGACCCTTCCGTCCCGAAGGTCTACTACATGTACGTGATCGGAAGAAAACGAAAGTTAAAAGGGGAGAAGAAATAAGAAGTGCTCAGCATTTGTGAGTCCCTATTAGCATGGTCCAGATTGATTGGCATTTCTCTCTCTCTCTCTCTCTCTCTCTCTCTCTCTCTCTCTCTCTCTCGATCTCTCTCTCTCTCTCTCTCTCTCTCTCTCTCTCTATCTCTCTCTTTCGTCCTTCTTTCTCTCCGTTTCCAATATTCCTGGAAACGTTTTGTGCTGGGTAATGCAGAAAAGTACTTTGTGCTTTTATAAGATTGTAATTTATTCTAGATGCTGGGGCAGAGGTGAAGAAATCATTTAAATCCAACACCAACAGCAAAATCCTACTGTAAAAAAATAGTGTTTGTGTGTGTGTGTGTGTGTGTGTGTGTGTGATGACTTGTATGCAGCTTTCTCAAGCGTGTCCGGAGTACATCTTGCTAAGGGAAGAGTTTTAAGCTACGGGATGATATGTCATTAGGCGCGTAATGGTCTGAAGATGACTGCACGAATAAAAGATTTTTTGAAACTTTCGTTTTCAACACTAAATTTAAGTTTTTGTGTGCTGGTTTGGTCGGCTCTTGTTAGGGGGCAATTAACATAATCCGCAAGTGGTGGTTGCCTATACAAGGGTGAGAGGGAGTGCATTTCATTGTTTTCGATGTAATTCAGGAAAATTATGCAGCGTGATGAGTATCATGGGGTCTAATGGGTCCCCAGGGTTGAAAAGTCGTGAAGCGGCTTTTCAACCCCGGTACGTGGTAAAAATACAGAGACAATAGTTTGGTAAAATAATAGGGTTGAAGATGTCGCACGTTGGGAATGACAAGACGTAAAGAGGGACAAGTATAACACGTAAGTTACGGGAATAAAATTTAAGACAGAACAGCACAATAGCCCAGGAAACAGCAAAACTCTAAGCTGTAGGAAAAAATGCTAATAGGTGAGGTAAGCTGCCCTAACGCGGAAATCATTAATGTCCGAAATTGAAATACAGATTTCGCAACTGGTTTCGCGGAACGTTGTGCTCTAAAAAAATGGGGGAATAAATGCTTCACTCGACCTGGACTTTAAACTGTCTGTTCCTCCTAGGAAAATGGACCTACCGTGATAAGCTTTGTGCGGCCCTGCCTATCGTCCACACTCGGGCGGTGGTTTTGGCTGAAAAAGTTGCTGCTTTTGCCGATTCCTCTGTCTATTTCATCTCTCTCTCTCTCGCTCTTCTCTCCCTCTCTCGCTCTCTCTCCCTATCTCTCTCGCTCTTCTAAATGTCTATAAGTACCCTCGCGTTTTGTGCCCGGTGCGTCGTCTCCTGATGCGCGCGCAAAGGTTCAAGTCGTACGAGGCGCAAAATGGCATCTATTGCATTCGTAGAGCTAAAAATACCATATAAAGTATTAATTATCAAAACCATAACACGGAGAATACCCTACCCCGTGATGACGCCGTGAACATCTTCAGAAGGCTTTCAGTTTCAGGGTCTTCGCACCCGGGTCTGCTTTCACGGTGACGGCCATTGTTTCGGGCTTTCGGGCGCTCACCTCCGAAAGGGGCCGACGATGCACGGAGGTCGAGTCCGCCGGCACCCGGCCGGTGGGGTCTTTATCGGTGGCAATCGGCAATCTCGAAGGCCTTAGAATGTTCATCTCGTGAGCAAATCGTTCTGAAAAAGACAATTCCGATCCCTTGCTCAACAAGATGCGCTCTTAATTAATTCTCAACCTACCGTAGGTCGGGGAGGCACATTCCGGATAGTTTTCAAGGAAATAGAATAACGACTAGGTGACTTGTAGTGCTGGAAATGGCAGGCTACTTTCCACTCCCAACAAGGCGCTTAATCAATGCTCCAAACTCACACCCACCTGCCAACGCTGTTAGCCAAGGAGCTCGGGTTGTCGCTCCTGCTCGCAGACCTGAAGGCACATTAATGAATACCTGAGTAACTGACCTCCTGTAAGCCGATAGTGATCGGCTTTAGGTGCGACCTGGCGGATTGGATGTTGTCCCGCGGGATCAGCACCTGCATGATTTGGCATACGCCGTTGTCGTACGGCGGGATAGGGGCCTTCGCGTTTCCACAACTCGAAGTACCGCCAGACGGGATGGCTGGAGTATGGTAGTTCAATACTCTCCCTCTCTTCATCTTCTTCTCTACGTCTCTCTCTCCCTGCTTCGCCATTACTCTCCCACCGATTACATATCTCACTATCTCTCTCTCTCTCTCTCTCTCTCTCTCTCTCTCTCTCTCTCTCTCTCTCTCTCTCAAGGCTTTCTTCTCTCTCTCTTAATCTCTCTCTCTAGCTAAACCATACTCACCGGCGTTCCACCTTCACCCTCTTTCGGCGCTGGCCCCGGAGGCGACCTGCTTTTCCGTAGCGGTCGCCGGACTTCCGGACGCAACCGGCTGAATGGCGCCCAACCGCTGGCAGCCCAGGCGTATTGGGCTGAAGGACATTGATTACCAGGCAGGGGGCGTGGCTCACCGTTTTGCGCGTTGAACGTGTTCTTCATGCCATTCAGCATCGGATAGCTTTGAAAGGGCGTATAGCGGGGTAGCCTGGAAAGACTGGGAAATGACTGGATGCGGGGTGTACACTCAGCTTCAATAGTCTAATAATGCTCTCGTTCACTCGATTTCATCTCGCGCTCTCTCTCTCTCGCTCTCGCTCTCTGTATCTCACTCACCTGATTATCCGGCATTGAAATAGCCTGTTCAATGGGCGTCAAAGTTGTCGTGACATTATCTATCTCTCTCTCCCTCTCTCTCGCTATCTCTCACATCACCTTTCAGATTTGGGAAATGACGTTATTTTAGCAGCCGATGTACCCCGCATCCAGTCATTTCCCAGTCTTTCCGGGCTACCCATACTATACGCCCTTTCAAAGCTATCCGATGCTGAACAGCATGAAGAACACGTTCAACGCGCAAAACGGTGGGCCACAACCCCCTATGGTAATCAATGTGTCTTCAGCCCAATACGCACGGGCTGCCAACGTGTTGGGCGCCATTCAGCCGGTTGCGTCCGGAAGTCACGAGCGAACCGCTACGGAAAAGCGGAAGGTCGCCTCCGAGGCCAGCGCCGAAAAGAGGGTGAAGGTGGAACGCCGGTGAGTATGGTTTTAGCTAGAGAGAGATTAAGAGAGAGAAAGCGAGAGAGAGAGAGAGAGAGAGAGAGAGAGAGAGAGAGAGAGAGATAGTGAGATATGTAATCAGTGGGAGAGTAATAGCGAAAGCGAGGGAGAGAGAGAGATAGAGAGAATGAGAGAGGGGAGAGATATTGAACTACCATACTCCAGCCATCCCGTCTGGCGGTACTTCGAGTTGTGGAAACGCGAAGGCCTATCCAACAGTACGACAACAGCCGTATGCAAATCATGCGGAGTGCTGATCCCGCGGGCCAACATCCAATCCGCCAGGTCGCACCTAAAAGCCGATCACCTATCGGCTTACAGGGAGGTCGGTTACTCTCAGGTATTCATTAATGTGCCTTCAGGTCTGCGAGCAGGAGCGACAACCCGAGCTCCCTTGGCTAACAGCGTTGGCAGGTGGGTGTTGAGTTTGGAGCATTGATTAAGCATATGCATTGGAAATTGGAAAGTAGCCTGCCATTTCAGCACTACAAGTCCCACCTAGTCGTTATTCTATTTCCTTGAAAACTATCGAGAATGTGCCTCCACGACCTACGGTAGGTTGAGAATTAATTAAGAGCGCATCTTGTTGAGCAAGGGATCGGAATTGTCTTTTTTCAGAACGAATTTGCTCACGAGATGAACATTCACAAGGCCTTCGAGATTGCCGATTTGCCACCGATAAAGACCCCACCGGCCGGGGTGCCGGCGAGCTCGACCTCCGTGCTGTCGTCGGCCCTTTCGGAGTTGAGCGCCCAGAAAAAGCCCGAAATAGTGGCCGTCACCGTGAAAACTGAACCCGGGTGCGAAGACCCTGAAACTGAAAGCCTTCTGAAGATGTTCACGAAGCGTCATCACGGGGTGAGGGTATTCTCCGTGTTATGGTTTTGATAATTAATACTTTATATGTAATTATTTTTAGCTCTACGAATGCAATAGATGCACATTTTGCGCCTCGTACGACTTGAACGCTTTGCGCGCGCATCAGGAGACGACGCACCGGGCACAAAACGCGAGGGTATGCTTATAGACATTTAGAGAGAGAGCGAGAGAGATAGGGAGAGAGAGCGAGAGAGGGAGAGAGAGCGAGAGAGAGAGAGATAGAGAAATAGACAGAGGAATCGGCAAAAGCAGCAACTTTTTCAGCCAAAACCACCGCCCGAGAAAGTGGACGATAGGCAAGGCCGCACAAGCTTATACGGTAGGTCCATTTTTCTGAAGGAACAGACAGTTTTAAAGTCCAGGTCAGTGAAAACATTTATTCCCCCATTTTTTAGAGCACAACGTTCCGCGAAACCAGTTGCGAAATCTGTATTTCAATTTCGGACATTAATGATTTCCGCGTTAAGACTAGCTTACCTCACCTAATGGCATTTTTCTATAGCTTAGAGTTTTGCTGTTTCCTGGGCTATTGTGCTGTTCTGTCTTAAATTTTATTCCCGTAACTTGCGTGTTATACTTGTCCCTCTTTACGTCTTGTCATTCCCAACGTGCGACATCTTCAACCCTATTATTTTACCAAACTATTGTCTCTGTATTTTTATACATTACCAGGGTTGAAAAGCCGCTTCGCGACTTTTCAACCCTGGGCCCCGTTTAGCCCCATGATACTCATCACGCTGCATAATTTTCCTGAATTACGACGAAAACAATGAAATGCACTCCCTCTCACCCATTATATAGGCAACCGCCACTTCCGGATTATGTTAATTGCCCCCTAACAAAGAAGCCGACCAAAAAACTACACAAAAACTTAAATTTAATGTTGAAAACGAAAGTTTCAAAAAATCTTTTATTCGTGCAGTCATCTTCAGACCATTACGCGCCTAATGACATATCATCCGTAGCTTAAAACTCTTCCCTTAGCGAGATATCCTCCGGACACGCTTGAGAAAGCTGCATGCAAAGTGTCACACACACACACACACACACACACACACACACAAACACTATTTTTTTACAGTAGGATTTTGCTGTTGGTGTTGGATTTAAATGATTTCTTCACCTCTACTTTCCAGCATCTAGAATAAATTACAATCTTATAAAAAGCACAAAGTACTGGACACCCAACAAACGTTTCAGGAATATTGGAAACGGAGAAAGAGAGGACGAGAAAGAGAGAGATAGAGAGAGAGAGAGAGAGAGAGAGAGAGAGAGAGAGAGATAGAGAGAGAGAGAGAGGAGAGAGAGAGAGAGAGAGAGAGAGAGAGAGAGAGAAATGCCAATCAATCGGACCATGCTAATAGGGACTCACAAATGCTGAGCACTTCTTATTTCTTCTCCCCCTTTTAACTTTCGTTTTCTTCCAGATCACGTACATGTAAGTAGACCTTAGGGACGGAAGGGTCATATTAGGTGGATTTTTCACCGTTGCTTTCACGAATCAGTTTGAGGAATCGCTCAATTCGAAACTGCAATAATTTAAAAATTATAGGATCTTTTGCCATTGTATTGATATTGATTTTTTTCTTCTATTTAAAGTCCAAACCCCGGCCAAAGCAGTAATGCCAGGCCTAGTAAAAATTTATCGCCTTTTCTTCGATTGGAATCGCATAAATTTCTCGCGAGCCCCTCGACATGACACATCCCCCCACTTTCGCACCGGCATTTCCGCTCGAACCCGGGGGGAACGACAAATGGCTAATGGATGGTGGCTTGCCCCCCGAAAAAGCAACTCAACTCCATCCATCCCATTCGATTTGGGCCCAAATGCATTTGCCCCACGAATTTTCTTGCCGTTTGAAACTTCGGATACTGTGTTCGATTTATCATCGTGCTTTTTTTGAACCTGGCCGAATCTTTATTTTTTTTTAGAAACTGTACGAAACAATTACGAAGCTAAAAATTGTGGATAAGATTTTCTCTCTTAGTTGATCTGAATCTCGAACTTCCCAGTAGAATTTCAAATTCCCAACTCTCTACTTGTTTCGAGCCTTCAACCACGCTTTCGGTGATTTTTCAGTAGAATGAATGGAAATTAGGAATCATGGTATCAAAATTTGTTTAATAGGATCAAAACGCTGAAAATAGATATATGAGAATAATCACATACCATTGTCAAACATCACCTATCTCGCACACGTTTTGAATAGATGCCATTTGGTCGAGAGTATCGGATTGTCGCCAAAGCCATGACCTGAGGTGTGCCATCTGTCATGCAAGGCAGAAGTCTTCTCACGCCCAGGTCAGCTCGCACCAGCACCAAAGGCTACCACCAAACACCGAAGGGTACCACCGATGACTTGGGCCATTGATAAGTGACCTCAGGCTATTTGCCTAAGGGGTTGTTTCTGATGAGCAGCAGATATTTTTTGCTCCTTTTGTGATGGCTCTCGCTCTCTCTCTCTCTCTCTCTCTTTCTCTCTCTCTCTCTTTCTCTCTCTATCTCTCTCTCTCTCTCTCTCACCAGCTTACTGTTGTTTTCTTTCTGGGTCATCGAGGAAACGGTATCGATGGCAAAATTCATAAATCGTGGTCATTTCCATATTCGAAAAATCCATCCGATCCGTCAGTCCTTGTCGAGACAAAGCATCGCTGGATTCCCCTGAGAATTGAAGGGTGTAGGCAGAGAAGGGAGAGAAGGAGAGAGAGAGAGAGCGAGAGAGAGAGAGAGAGATCGGGAGAGAAAGATAGGGTGAGTGAGAGAAAGATAGGTTGATAGAGAAATGCACAGCCCTTGCGAAAAAATTTTTGCTTCTTTCAAAGCTCTACCCTGCGATTGACTTTTAGCAACTTTAGACATTAATATTTTCCGGAGTGGGTCCTTTGAGCGGCAATGATATTTCGTTGAATCGGTTGAATGGTCCAACATCAAAATTTTATATTTTTCATTGACAAACTTTCGCGATTTGCTCAATTTCCTTGACGTTTCCAACCACTTTTTGTTGTGAATCCAAAATTGCGGGAGCATGTGGCATCGATGTTTCTTTGCGGGCCGCCGCGCTCTGCCGAAAAATTTCGCGCGTGAGCGCACGTGTTCGGCGTGAGCCAAAGGTTTATAAAGGGCAGCGCGGGCCAGGACGGCCACAACTCCTTTTTTGATTATTTTATAGGGTTTACTTGGATTTGAAAGCTTTTTCTTTTACTTTTCTGTCACTTGTTCTGTTTGTCTAGGCAAGTTGTCTTTCTCTATCTCTCACTCACTCTATCTCTCTTTTTCTCTCTCTCTCTCACTTTATATCGTATCTTTCCTTTCTGACAATCACCGATAACACAGTGGGCGTGGCTTCGTCCCGCACCCCTCGGAATTGCCTATATAAGCAGAGCCCCCGGGACAGATGCCATTGTTCCAAACATTTCGATGCTACCCTATCTTATCTACTGAATAGATGGCTTCTTTCCCGCACAGCATTGCCCGCAGCCTACCTAGGTAGCCTGGCACCGCTTCAGCTCGCAGCGACTTGCGCGCGCTGAAAGCTGCCGTGCACTTGCGGAATTTGGCGAATTGCCCGCATCTAAAAGCCGTGAGCTTAGAAATACCTACTATATGCTTCCCGCTCGCGGCTTTTGCCCGTATACAGAGATCCTGTGCTGATTGCCCGCTGCCTTACAGGTCTTACAGGCCGCACACGCCTGCTAATTGAAATAACCCCCTATTAACTATTTCCTCACCCCCAATAATCTCGCCCTAACCGTTGATCCGTTGCTAACGTGTGATGACACTTGAATGTCGACCTGACATTATGCTAACCCGATTTTGGTCAGAGTTTTGCTGCTAGACACTAACAGGCGAGGTGATTCCTATGTTTTCTTATCAAGATTTTCGAACCTAGCAGTCGGCAGCGATCCCCGCATTTGAATGCTTGCTTTCTCGCTATCTATGTCTCGCCTTTGCTTCTTCCTTCACTATCACGCTGTCGGGATGCCTGGCTCTCGCTCTCTCACTCTCGCTCTCTCACTCTCTCTCTCTCTCTCACTCTTCTCTTTGACATTTGACCCCAAAAATATGGCACTATCTGTTTCCCGACCCTTGCGGCTACTGGTCGTCCGGGAACGGGAAAGGTTAGAATGCCTCAGCGGGGGAGGCATAGTACCCCGCATGACGCCCAGTATTAGAAGTCTAGCTATGCAAATGGGCCTCATCGAACGTAATGGAACTGAGGCTTTGGCTGTGGGCTTCAAGCTGCCAGATGCCCGCCCCCTTTTGGCTTGGGCCGCTCTACACGCCTACGAATTCTCGGAGCAGGGAGCTGATTGGTCTCCCAAAATACGAGAAAATGACAGGACAAGAACTGGAACTCCATCAAGAAGTGCGAAGTGTGTACTACAAGCTACTGAAAGAGAAATTCCTACATGATGTCGCTCAGGGCTCGGAAACTTCAAAAAGAAAATAATGCCGCAAGCCGGGACTCGAGAACTTCGTCAAGGATCAAGGATTGAGACTGGATGCCCAAATGACCCGACGCACCAACGCACGACTACATCAATGCACCAAATTCGTACAGCCGGAAATCAAGAAGCGCAAAAGATGTTCAACTCCTATGCCGGAAGTTCAACTCCTATCGGCTCGTCTGTGGCTACGTACTCGTCGAACTAGTACCTGAACGTACTATACAAACCGCCATCGATTCCTTGTCTTCCATGAGCTTCCGATACTCGTCCACATCAACCATTAACAACATTCCCCTTTCAGAAACAAAGATGAACCCACCACACCCACCACATGCACGCCCCGGCTACAACATAATGGACATGGGCATGCTGCACAACATGATCAACAACTACAACAACTACCCTAATGGTGCGACTTGCTTAGAAGCACTGAGAACATTCCCGATTTTAGACCCGCTCCTCCACGTGCGACAGACCCTTCCGAATGTTTTGGGGCCCGAGATGCCATTTTCGAGCTGCAATTTACTAAACCAGATGCACGACCCTATCCCGGAAGC